TTTTGCCGGTATTAACGACATTTTTCCAATTAAGTCAATTATCTTTTTGATAAATATATTCCACTTAGGAAAATTAAAGTTCATAGAAACAGGCAACCATGGTTCACTAAGAGGGTACTTGAGGCGGTAAGAGCTCCAAACAAAAGCTATCTTTTCTGGCGGAAAAACGCGAATGAAGAAAATTGGGTGGCATATAAACGTGGGTCAAAAAGATGTTATTTTCAAAACCAACTTAATACTAGTCTTCCTCCGAAAGTTCTGTGGAATAATTTAAAACAGCTTGCAGTCAAATCTAATTTGAAATCTGAGTGCGTGATCGATGTTGAACCCAACAATTAAATTACCTGCGGAGAATGCTATTTTTGTGCCCAACGTAAATATTTCGTATGATTTTAGCCGCAGATTTAACGTACCTAGTATTACCGAATCTGAAATAATACCCTACATTCTTTCAATTAAATCAAATGCTGTCGGAGAGGACCAAATAAGCCTAAGTATGATAAGGCTCGTTCTTGCTTACATCATATTACCCTTAACGCATATTATAAATTTTTCGCTAACTTCACTTAGATTTCCTGATGCCTGGAAAGTGGCTAATATTATACCTGCTGCGAAAAAAAGTAATGCCTCACAGCCCTGTGACTTCCATCCAATCAGCATTTTAGCGTCTTTATCAAAGATTTTCGAAAAAGTATTACTGAATCAAACGATGAAGTACCTGCTGGAAAATGACCTTTTATCTGAAAATCAATAGGGATATCGCAGGGGACATAGCTGCTCAACCGCTATGCTCAAAGTCATGGAGGACGTTCGACCTTCCTTCGATAAAGGCCACCTAACAATCCTCACCTTATTGAACTTTTCGAAAGCTTTTGACACTGTCGGCCGCTGTGGTGTAGTGGTAAGCAGTGCGCGCTTTCACTCATCAGCACATGGGTTCAAGCCCTGGCCAAAGCAACATCGCAAAAAAATATAGAAAAAAGGGTTTTTCTTAACAGCGGTCGTCCCTCGGCAGGCAATTGCAAACCTCCGAGTGTATTTCTGCCACTCTGAAGCTTGGCCAAACACTAACATATGAGTAAGCGCCAATCTATTTTTATACTATATTTTGACACTGTTTTCCATAGAAATCTGATTCGAAAGCTTGACACATATTTGGGATTCAGCAATGATGCAGTGAAACTAATTGAAAGCTATTTGACTAATACACATGAAAGGGTTGTTTCTAGGGATACCCGCTCTAGCTTAACACCAGTAAAATCGGGTGTACCGCAAGGCTCTATTCTTGGTCCGGTATTATTCAGTTTATGTATGAATGACTTAGAAAAATGCTGCAAAAATGTATCAATTCATCTTCATGCTGACGACGCTCAGATATACCTCTCTATCCCTCTAGGCTTAACAGAAGACTTAGTCTTCCGAATAAATGAGGACTTACAAGCTATTTCTCTGTGGTCGAAAAATAACAGGCTTAACCTCAATTCGTCCAAAACGCAGGCAATTGCTGAATTGGGAGTGTTGTGAAGTATGAGAAGATTGTTAAAACACTTGGGTTTACACTGAATCAAAATGTAACGTGCATTGATCATGTTAATGCATCAGTCAGCCGAATGTATTCTGTACTGAGACAATTATGGAAAACAGCCCACTGCATTCCCAAAGATGTCAAACTTAAGCTTGTTAAAATGCTATTGGTACCAATAATATCGTACCACGAGTTAATATATGGTTGTCTCGATAAAGAATCGCTCGGAAAATATCAATTATTATTTAACAATACCGCTAGATACAGATGCGTGCAACTAATTAGCAACGAAATTCAAAACGATACTGCTTGCAAATTATGTTTATTTTTTTAGTTTTAATAATTTTCATTTAAAATATATTTAAAAAATTTTTAATTAGAATATTTAGAAAATTTTCGGATATGCAGTTTTGTAGCTCATTCAATTTTAGAAAGTGCAAGTTTCAAGTCGCTAAAAATTACCGTTGATTTTTTAGATTTTTTTTTGTGGAGGGTGTTGCGCATTTTCTTTCATATAACTCATGATCAAAATATTTTTTTACATGGAAAAAAATCCGCAACACCCTCGACAAAAAAACTTGAAACTTGCACTTTATTATACTAAAATTGAATGGGCTACAAAACTGCATACCCGAAAATTTTCTAAATATTCAAATTAAAAATTTTGAAATTTTGATGACAATTTTTTGAAGTTTAATTAATTTTTTTTGCAATTTGTGCAAGCTTTGCAACTTTTGTTATTGTGGTTTCTGATATAGATTGAATTATATTTTAAGTGAAAATTATTAAAAATAAATAAAAAAACATAATTTGCATGCAATATCATTTTGAATTTCGTTGCTAATTAGTTGCACGCATCTGTATATATATATCAAGCGTAAATTTAATCACATCTCGGAGTTTTCGTGCTGATCGAACGAATTTTCATTTGGTATTATGGCGCTCATTCGATGAAGAATAGCGCTATTGTGAATTTCGCTCGTTTAGGTTGTTCACAATAGTAAATTTTTCACTGCTGAGAAGCTTTGTTTACAGATCGAGCAAACTAGATAGAGTGGTTATACATATGTACATATGTAAATTTGTGCAAATTAATATGAAATAAAAAAGAAAGTGAGTGAAGTGAGGGCCTATATTCTTTGATCGTCGTATGGTGTTATTAATATATAAAATAATCTACACCCGTTGCCCGAAATACCTCTTTTCGAAACTGACGTTTGCACAGTCAACTCGCACATGCAATCTTATTGTACCTTATTTTAAGTATTCAGTTACATCAAGAATGTTTTTTGTTAGAGCCGTACAGTTGTGGAATTCGTTTCCAAGAAAACTAAAATCGGAAACTAGTCCAAAGCGCTTCAAATCGGCTGTGTTCTTTCTTCTCAAACTAAATCCTGTACCATCTTATTACAAATTTTTGTTATGTTGGTGATGAATCGCTGCTAACTCGTCCCTGGGGAAGTAAGCCGGCTTAAGTCTGTCAATGGACACCGTCACTTGTCTTGATCCAATCAATATTGCATACGTCTTGGGGTACCTGTTAACTACTAGCCCCTCGTACGGCGATTTCAAAGGCTTACGGATAGTGTCATCACGTAAAAACACGTGACTGCAGAATCTCATGTCTTTTGGCACGAAAACAGCATGCTTTCCATGCAGTGAAGTTGGCGTTGGCCTAGCCATTTCGAAATGTCGCAAATCCCGCAGGAAACTCTGCTCATCTACAGGCGTGTTGTCGTCGGCCTCCAGAAAGCCGCTGGGTAACCGGATAGGTTGTCCGTAGAGCATCTCTGCAACGGATACGCCCAAGTCCTCTTTCACGGCCGTTCGTAAGCCTAAAAGCACGATGGGTAGGACGTCGACCCAATTCGCGTCTGCAGCGTGACATCTGAGGGAGGCTTTCAACACACGATGCCATCTCTCCACCAACCCATTAGCTTAAGGGTGGTAGCTGGTTGTATGGATGTGTTTGACGCCTAATAGCTTGGCTAGTTGTTTGAACAGCGCACTCTCGAACTGACGCGCCTGATCTGTAGTAATGTACTTCCTTCGGTTTCTTCAATGCTATGATGCCCCTTACTTCCTGAGGCAGTGGTTTAATGCCTTTGCATGAGACCAGATGGCCCAGAAACTCTACCTCCTCCCGGCCGAGTTGACATTTCTCACTGTTGATAATTAAGCCCTTCTCTCGGTAGCGATCAAAAAGCTGACGGAGATCTGTCGCGTGCTCCTCCAGTGACGTGGAGGCGACGAGGACATCATCGAGGTAGGGGAAGGCGAACGGCAATCCCATTACTGTTTCATCAATGAAACGCTTGAACGTCTGTGCTGCGTTTCTAAGTCCGAACGTCATATACCTGAATTCGAACAAGCCGAACGGCGTGAGGATGGCGGTTTTCGGAACGTCTGCTGGGTGTACAATGATTTGGTGGTAAGCCTTTTTACAATCAATTCAGAAAAAATAGTTTTTCCATACAAGTCCCCTCCGAAATCTTGAATATGGCGGTCTGGATAATTGTTTGACAAGGTCTTCGCATTCAACCGCCAATAATCACCGCAAGGCCGCCACTTTCCATTCGCTTTTTGCACCATATGTAGGGGACTAGCCCATTGGCTCTTCGGGCGTTGGCAAATTCCTCGTTCTAATAAATACTCGAATTCCTCTTTTGCAACTGCGAGCTTCTCGGGGGAGAGTCGGCGCACTTTTTGTACCACAGGGGCACCTCTCGTCTCAATAAAATGTCGAACGGCCGTCGATGTTCTGTCCGCCCGGAGTGAATCGTTGCTGCGGTCGGGGTACTGCGCTAATATCTGCTGAAATAAACTTACCCCTCTTAATGAGATGATGCTATATGGAAGTTTCATGATTTGGCAAATCGATCGGACGCTCGTTGTTCTATCAATGATCGCCTTACTCTTCATGTCCACCAGAATCTCGAAATGTTTTAAAAAATCAGCACCCCATATAGGGTACCCTACGTCAGCAATTACAAATAACCACGAAAATTGTTTCCGCAAACCCCGGTCTATACCATACGCTTAGTACCGTAGCGTGTTGTTTGCAGCTACCAGCGTCATAGGCGCCCTCGATCGCTTGTCGTTACAACTTTTGGGTACCACTGATATCTCCGCACCCGTGTCTACAAGAAACTTTAGTGAAGATGTCCTGTCTCGGACATAAAGGCGGCTGCAGTTATTATCAGCCTCCGCAGGAGCCGCTTTGAACGGAGGACTGATTAGTTTTCCGAACGTTTCTGACCGAAAACACATGGCTGCCGGCATCGTGTTACATTTTCACCAAAAGAGCGGTGATACCAACAAGTGTCGTGTGCTGGTTGAGTTGTCGTCCTGCGCGAACTGGTAGATGACGTTGTACCCGAAACTGCATTGCTGCGGTTCCGTTCCTCCCTGACCTTGCCGTTATTGCAGCTACGCAGGTGATGAATCCTCGCTGGGTACACCGACGACTTCTATGTTACCATTTGCCGTTGCAATCTCCATGATATTCGGCTTTCTTAGCCAAAGCTTCGATATCGCCCTCGAGTGTTGATAAAATCTGCTGCACTTGTACAGGCAAACGTCGCAGCCACAATGATTTCAAAACGTCTTTATCGACTCGCTGACTTGCTAAGTCTTTCATGTCACGAAGCAAAGTAGTAGGTTTCTTCTCGCCCAATTCGCAACCTTCAAATAAGCGTTTGAGACTTTTTTCGTTCGACTCGCCGAATTCAGTAATCAGTCTTTGCTTTAATGCGTCGTACTTGCCACTAACAGGTGGTGATGAAATTATGTCGGTAGCGTGAGTGAGAACTGCTGAATCAATTTCAGCTACAATTGTGTAGTACTTCGTCTCATCGGCCATAATCCCTGCTCGCACAAACTGCGCCTCCACCTGTGCGAAACACATGCGTGGATCAGGCTTCCAGAACGGTGGCGGCTTGATGGAGAGCCGTGCCATATGGAAAGAAGTAATAGCGTCTTCTTACCTATCTTCACCTTAGTTCACCATATTATGTTCTTAGCGGGGCCACCAGTTATAGAATCATTACTTCTATATGTCTTTATTAACTTAGAAATTAAACAAATATAAGTTGCTTATATACACGGAAAATGCTGATTCTGTTAGCGTCGCTAGCAAACACGTTGAATGAATGAAGTTGGTTTCAGTTAGTACAAACGAATCTCAAACAGCTCTGTTCGTCTACCGCGGCTTTTGATGTTGCCACTTAACTACTGCGACAAGTGTTAGGGTTGGTCCCTACACATATATTCTTTAAGCTACCAAAATTTTATTATTATGTAATTGTTTTCAAATGTGGCATTGTAAAAGACTATGTCTTATATGTGCATTTAAATAAACAAATTGAATTTAATTGAATTATTCGAATGCTTTCGATTAATCAATCAACCGATTATTAACTATTTCATTATTATATACCGTACAGTGCCTATTTTTGGACACAAATTGATCGATCCTTCAAGTGACGCTGCTGAAAACAAGGGCGCACTAGGTTTTGGCATTTTTTGCAGCCTTCTGGTCACTCGACGTTTGGCTTTATCCACCGGAGGATGCAGAATGAACTGCCGGCTAAAATAGCTCGAGCATCTCTCCGGGTCCGACGAAGCGTGGTCAACAAAGTCTATCTCGACTCTGTCGTCGCGCTTCGTCGGGTTGGACAACGACCTCACGGTTGACCAAAGCTTGCTCACACCAGAGGCGAAGTTGCAGGTCTTCAGATGCTCTTCCCATTTCATCCGCTTATGTACGTTCACAAGTTGCCGAATCTCCGTATTGAGATCCCTAGTACGGGAATTTCCGGGATCGGCCTGACGAAGGTTGTCGCGCTCATCAGCTAGAACAGCCGCTTCGGCAGGAAAATTCGGACGTGGATCCTTGATACATCCTGCTGGGATGAAGCGAGCTGCGGTAGCGGTGACAACCCTGCGGAACTTACGTTCACCTACATGAACGTCGGTTGGTATGGGTAGTGCAGTGAAGGCGCCCTCAGTAACATCCGTGAAGCCTTTCCAGTCAGCTTTGGAAAAGTTGACATAAGTCCGGTGATCCACGGAAGCAAAGTGGGCAGGTTTATAAATCAAGATGACTATGGGCAGATGGTCTGATGCTATAGTCAGCATAGGTCGCCATGATACGCTGTTTATCAGACCAGCTCTGACAATTGTTAGATCTGGCGAGCTGCTGCAGCTGCCCATAATCCTGGTGGGTGCGTCGTCGTTCATTGTGCAGAATGTCGAATCGTCTATCTGCTCAGCCAGATGAATTCCCCTACGATCATTTGACAGGCTTGAGTGCCAGAGATCGTGTTGCGCGTTAAAGTCACCAACTACAATACGGTTTTCACCTCTGAGTAGCGCACCTATTTCAGGGTGATATCCTGCCGGGCAGCTGGTGACAGGGGGTATGTATACGTTAAATATTTCGAGCTCAACATCGCCTGACCGGATAGCAATACCCTGATATTCTAGGATGGTATCCCTGCGGTCGATGTCTGCTTCAATGAGACGATACTGCACGGTGTGGTGCGGTGTGGTGTGGTGTGGTGAACATAATTTTTAATTCGTTTTCGACGGTCGCCGCGTGAGTGCCTGCCTGCCAGCCAACCGTTCTGCGTAGTACATATATTTAAGAAGTGCACAGTGTATTTATTAATGTTCATGAAAATAAAGTTGTAAAACCCACTGGGTATCTTCCTGTACGATTTTAGGTGTCTTTTAGGAGTTCTGCAACGCCACCAAAGCTAATTTCGGTGCTCCATTGATTTACAAGAAATTCGCAAAAATGTGTTGGTCGGCTAGCTTAACGTTAACCTAGCTGACCAGTATTTAAAGTTTTTGTCTTTAATTTTCGAAATATATGCAGGAATTAGGTTTCTTTTAAGCGTTCTTCAACGCCACCAAAGCTAATTTCGGTGCTCCATTGGTTTCGAGAAATTCGCAAAAATGTGTTGTTCAGCTAGCATAGCGCTGTTTACCTAGCTAACAAGGCGCTTATTCCCAGCGATTTACAAATCGCACAGAGACAAATTATACATCAAATTAAAGTGCTCGATCTGAAACTTTGCACAAACGTCGCAGATTTAAGATCCATTAAACCATTTTCGAAATATTTGCGTCGAAAGATTTTAAAATTTTTACATTGAGCAAAGCAGTGCTACGTTCATTTTGATAGGCAGCGTCTCAGCGGGACTTAAGAGAATGAAAAATTGTTCCATTTATTCGCTTTTTTCTCTGTTGCTACGTTTGGAAGATCTGCATAGAAAATGGTCCCTTTGGCTGTGTACATACACGACGTTGTTGCATATTCATACATTCATACACACTATCAACAACTACATCGCTGCAGCGCTGTGGTCTTTATTTTGATTTGAGCATTGTTATGTTCCATTTATTCGTTTTCGTCAGTGTTTTCTTCCATATCGAGCAAAGCATTGCTACGTTCATGCGAATGTGATACAGCGAAAGATCTGCAATACAAAAATGTTGCTTTTGCCTCTGTACACATATACCCATACATAAATCTTTTATTGTTTATTTCGATGTTTTTTTCTGAGACAAATATGGCTCTATTTTAATTATAAATCTATATATCTATATACAATCGTGCTGAGACAATTTACATCTCAAACTTAGGTGCTCGATTTGAAACTTTGCACAAACAATTCAGATTTAAGAATCGTTCGAATTATGTACATACAAACATATTTGCACGGAAAAAATTTTTCTATTTTACATTGAGCAATTTTAAGATGTAAAACTGAACCTCACATACGCACTATTCGTATGTATGAACATAAAAATAATTGGGCAATTCAGAAGGTGTTGTGAAGTTATATTTTCCTAACAAAAGTTGTGTTAAAACACGACGGTTGTGAACACCTGTTACGATTATTTATTATATCTCAGCACTTAACCTCACATAACACCGAATAAACATAGGTTGCAGAGTTGTATCGTCATGTGTTATTTTTCTTCACAAAACAATAACAACATTTTTACAACTGTCATGAAATATCATGACTTCACGACAAACACGACAAATACGACACCTTGTGAATTACCCAAATAGCATTATTTTTCCCGCCAATTAGTAAAACGAGTTAGCCAAATTTTTCCTCAACACAGCTCGCTGTTTGAGGGTTCGGCTCAATCCGTCAACAAATAGCGCGGTCATTCCAGTTTTCACTTTATCGAGCAAGGACGCCTATCAGCCACCACCCTTCATCACACACCAAAGGTAATATTGTAAAATATTCTAAACCACACGCTTTCAATAAACACCTAGCACGTAGTTATTAATATAAATCTCCATCTGTGTCTTTTTTCTTGCATTATTTTCATTAAAACATTGATGCCCTGCTGGAGTTGCCAGCCACATAAGCATCAGTGTTTCCACGCACTCTCATTTTCAATTGCCAACAACAACAATTTTGAACAATTTTATTTCCTTATTTTTAATTTTGTATAATTTTGAAATGCTGGAAAACTGAAAAAAATCCTGGCGGACGAACCGAGGGATCGGCAAAGTATTTTACACTCTCGATAAATATGCGTTTCAGAGAATTATTTTGTGGGTAAGAGAAGGGCGAGAACTCTCGCCTGACTCAAAAATTAAGAGATTATTTTGCGAGTCGATTAGGTATTTGAACCTCAGCCTGGTGTAATTAATCAAGACCACTTGAAGGATCGATCAATTTCGTGTCCAAAAAATAAGCACTGTACGGTATATAATAATGAAATAGTTATTAATCGGTTAATTGATAAATTCAATTTATTTATTTAAATGCACATATAAGACATAGTCTTTTACAATGCCACATTTGAAAACAATTACATCATAATAAAATTTTGGTAGCTTAAAGAATATATGTATACTAATCAGTTGTTAAACGAGTTTTTGACATTTCATATATTTTTCAGTCGAAGAAAGTGGGAAAGAAAAATGTGTAATAAGATGGTACAGGATTTAGTTTGAGAAGAAAGTATACACAGCCGATTTGAAGCGATTTGGACTAGTTTCCGATTTTAGTTTTCTGGGCAAAGAATTCCACAACTGTACGGCTCTAACAAAAAACATTCTTGATGTAACTGAATACTTAAAATAAGGTACGATAAGATTGCATGTGCGAGTTGACTGTGCAAACGTCAATCGACGATCAAAGAATATAGGCCCCTATTATGGGTTGCATTCGATCTTCGACTGTGGTCGAAAGTGCTGAGCGAATGAATTTTCATTTGGTATTATGGAACTCATTCGGTGAAGAATAGCGCTATTGTGAATTTCGCTCGTTTAGGTTGTTCACAATAGTATATTTTTCACCACTGAAAAGCTTTGTTTGCAAATCGGGCAAACTAAATAGTGTGCTTATACATATTTATTTTAATTTTTGCAAATAAAAACGAAATAAAAAAGAAAGCGAGTTTATAAAAACGTGGTAAAAATGAGTACAGCGGAGTTCTGGGTGAACGATTCGTAAGAGGATGAGAGCTTAGAAAACTGGTCAGGAACAAAAAACGTTTAAGAGAGTTTAAGTGTAGTCTTTCGAATAAATTTTGATATGACAATATATTTAAGAAATTTTGTGATCCGAATCTATTTAAAATATATTAAAACTATAAACAGCTCTATGATTTTGTTCTCAGAGATCGTGCCAACAGTGTATTGGGATTTTCTTTCACAAGTAAAACCAGCCTTTCGAGCTTGTGTTCAGTATTCAGACGTTAGAACGGCATCAAATTAATAAAAAATGTTCCAAATTAGTGTCTAGCCGCCAAAAAGTAAGAAAACAACTGACCCCATAGAGGCTGCACGCTTCTTGGGGCTGCCGTTAGTGGAACTCGACGACAATGACTGAGATATCAGCCGATCTGGGCGGGGTTGTTGTAGCCGCTACAACAACAACAAAACAAATGCAAAATCATAAAGTTTTCACAATTTTC